TGTCAATTGCAGCCTGTTCCGATATAGGTCTAAACTCAAAATGACAATTTTGACTGTATGTCGAGGACCTAAAAGCAGCAGCTGTATTAAAACAACTTTTTGGAGGAGTAAACACAGATGAAAAGTAATTATTGATAGCGTTAACATCCTTCAAATGGTCTGGAATTGTTATGCTGGTTTTAGAATTGATGCCTACAGAATTGATGGCCTTCCAGAGGTCTCTAGTATTCGACTGCGAAGCATGGAAGGTAAAAAACACGTTTTTCTTGCCGAACTGCATTAAGAACATTGTTTCTCAAATCACGGTAATGAGACAAGTATTTTATGTTACGCGTTTGTTTATAGGCATAGAGCGTCGCATCGCGCTTTTTCATCAAAAGTCGGACATTTGGCGTCAACCATTCAACATATGGCTCCGTAACACGTGCCAATTTGATTGGAGTATGGATATCAAAAATATTTATGTCTGTCGTTAAAAAATGTATTTTGCCCCTTATATTGTTCATATAGTAAATTTGATTCCACTCTATCATATTTAGATCGCAAATAAAATCAGTTCTTGAAAAATGTTGTACGAACTTGGCCTCAAATTTATGGGTAGCCAATTTTAGTGAGCAGAAAACACACAATGATCCGAGATATCATCAGCGGAAGGTACACTAACATTTGTCAATCCATGTTTCAGAAACAGACGTAATAATATTAATATGACAAAGCAAGCAGATATAATCATGTTGTGGGCGCTATAAATGAAAGTACACTGCCTGTGCCATTCATTTGATTCGGTCTTTGAAAAAATGCTGCTGAGGTAGCCGAAACGTTAGTAAACTACAGTATATTCAGATAAGAGATAGACCGGATGTAAACAAAAGGTTCGGGTGATTTTCACGCTAACGCCGCCGTCTCGACGTAAAACAGGAGCTCTCATTGGTCAATTCGCAATTAAATGCCTATGCCGAGCGGCAGAGCAGTCGTATCAAGGCAGAGTCACATTCAGGTTCAGACGTGTTACGTATGTCGTGTGCATCATTGCAATTTGATATTTCTTTGGACGTTTTCGTTTGTTATCTTATTAAGTTGTTGAGTTTGTCGTTGTTATTGTTAACTGTTGACACTGGAACACCTTGTTTCCTCTTATTCATACAATAACTTTCAGGACTACAAATAGTAAATACTTAATTAAATCACATATCTCACACTTTAAGTTATCAGTGATGTTGTAAAGGAATAAAACATCATTCAAACTTCGCCTATCACTTAATTTGGTTTCAATTGACTCAACATATTCTTATGAGATTATAAAAGGGTATTGTGCTTTTTAGAATACAAATATCTAAGAAACCTGTATTGCTCCCTTTCAGTCATCTATTTATGTCATCGCTATGGATCATTGTCTGTGGTGACCAAATACTTGCAGCATATTCTGAGTTAGGTCTAACTAGTGTGTTGTAAGTTATTATAGTACTTATATTTTTTAAATGTCTTGTATTCCCAATTATGAAGCTAAGAAGTTTATAAGGTTTATTTACAATATTTGCTGGACAAGTTTCAAGTTTGCTTGGAAGCAGACTCCAAGAAAATTTATGTATTGCTTTTTACGAGTTTTGGTAACATGTTATCAATAACTTGTGTAACCGGAATCTGAACAACCGTTTACACAACCTCTTCCTGTCGTGAAAGGCTCAAGGAGCGTGCATAAGTCTGCATCCATGGATAAAAACATTTTCTGCTGTGAATGTACCACAACGTGCATATCGTGACTGAACGCGATTTCGTGTGTTTCTCCATCCGAGAATGTACACATCGCGTGCTTGCAGCATATGACGACGACGATTTTTCTTTCTCTTCTCTGCTCTGGGCTCTCTCAACTTTCCTGTGTCAGGATTCTCGGAATCGTGCGTTGCAGTGTAGGTAACTCGGCGCTGCAGTTCTGCAATGCCTTCGCGTTTTTCTGCATCGGTTGACTGTGAGAAAGTCAGATCTTTATTTTTGACAACCAAATTCACTATGTTTATTGATATGATATTTAAAACAATATGTTTTCCTTCGATGACTATAATCTCTCCCACAATCTAAAATATTTTTAACATTCAGCATAGTCCAGGTAGTATCTTCACAGCTGCTCGGAAAAATGTCCTGATTTAGTTTTTCTGGATGATCTTGTTTAACGAAGCTGCATGTTTACAGGCCCAAAATTGCGTCAAAAATGTTTGATTATTAGCAGATTCTTAACATTTTTTTTCGCTTTGGACAAAGCTTTTTTCTAGGAATTATTGAGTCATTTTGAACAAGAAATGTTCCCATAAGATGTTCTGTAATGCGCGCGCTCACTCGGGATATACGCGGCTTGTTCAATTGAAACCCGTCTTTACTCAGGTTAGCCTTGAAAACAATTCTAATTACTTAACTGACGTTTTCCAATATTATTTGCATTTCTTGTTCCTGTCATCTGTATTTGACTGCGATTTTAAGTATTGTGTCCCAAAAATGGCGTTTGCTGTTAACAATCTCTCCATATAATCGGTCATTCGGTTTTGGTGAAGATTTGCAGCCTTTGCAAATTCGTACGCGAATGCAAGCAGTGAATGGAAACGCATGCTTTGCGTATTCAACTGTCAAGGAATAGTGTCGAAAATGTAAGAGTGGGAGAGAGGAGACGAATGATAAGTCTCGACCAGGTGCATTGAGTACTGCATCAACAGACAGGGATGTGGCATATGTGGAAGCCATGCTTAGAGAAAATAGTCAAATTTTAGTCAGAGCAATTTCAGAAAATGTTGGTGCGAGTATAGCTGTCCATAGTATCGTACACAAATTGGGTTACAGCAAAGATTGTGCGCAATGCTCGGCCTCATGTTCCCAGAGTCGTGGAAGAAAATCTTCAACGAAAGAAATGGCGGATATTAGAGCTTTTACCCTATAGCCCCGATTCATCGCGTTGCGATTTTGACATGTTTGGGCCACTGAAAAAGGCGTTAAAAGGTAAGCATTTCCAGTCGGACGAAGAAGTACAAATTGTCGTAAGATAATTCTTCAAGCAGCAGCCACAAGAATTCTTTAAGCAGAATATACATCAATTGGTGAATCAATGCCGTAATTGTAGTGGTAATTATTTGTAGATATATTTACCCAAAAATTTTTTCTGGACCAAAGATGGGTTTCATTTGAACAAGAGCGTGCATAACTAACTCGATGATTAACAATTAAAAAACGAAAGCTTACAATAACAATACTCCATAAATGCTTTGAGATTTTGTTGATTCATGTTCGGGGAACATTCAGGATTTCTGGCAAGATTAAAATGATCGTTCCCTTATACTTCTTTTTAGGGTTCAAAAGGGATATTTTGTACTTTTCTGCCTATATAGCGAAAACTTTAGAGAAAAGTTCATAAGAATCGTTCTTCTTCAGAGTAACCAGTCTTAAAGGGTGAGTCATAGTTACATGACAATAGAAACATGCACTTTTTTCCAATGAAACACCCTCTATCTTTTAGTATATATGTCATTCAAAGAAAGAAGCTTTCCTATTGTATAGCATATTATACTAATTCCGGAAATAATTTCTCTTTGCCGATATTTATGGTTTTTATGATTTCGTTCGCTACTTTTTTTACAATTACATGAAATTTCGTCATATAGCCAAAAATAGTTTGATAGAATATGTAGAAGGATATGTATCTAGCTTGTTCTAGAGTGATTTAAAAAGAAATTTGACATACTTTCGTAATTGTTATCACCAAAACGATAAGAGGTACGATAATTTTGAGTATTTATATATTTTGGAAATTTTATTTGAAAAGTTTCAACGCATCGAGCGTCGCCTGAAAAGAAAACGAATTTTCGCAAAATAGTTTCAATTGATTCCTGGATTAACCACATTTGACTCTACAAGGTGGCATGAATAGAAAATTTCGTTGTGCTTCGGACTAAAGCCAGGAAAAAATAAAAATGATTTAGAATAAGTTCGTAAATATTTTGAATTTTATATATCTGCGCAATTTAACCCCCATAAAGAACTCCCTGTCTTTTAAATGAATGTCACAGAATTGGTACTTACTGTTGACCTGTCAATATTTTATCATGGAAAGTGTAACGTAACATATTAACGTACATAGTGCTTGTAGCCAAACTAACTTTATATCTAACATAGATTTCAACTAATTCTTATATTCTTGTCTATATCTATTGTTTTAGTCTGTGAAGAACCATCTCAACAATGCGCTCTTCATTTCATGCTTCTCAAACTAGGGGGCAGGAGCGGGAAGTCGCCCCCCCCTCGTATCATCCCGATGCTCTTAGAGAAACGACTACTCTAAACTATCCCGTTAACACAAGGCACAAGTTGTAGATTAGAAATAGCTGGAAGGTGCACTACGTCATTTGGAGCTATATAAGGAACATAACCTGAAATCCAATCAATTTCTATCAAACATAAAAGTACAAGAAAAGGGTTTAAATAAAATTTTGTTTTTGAGATTTAGAAACAACTCATTTCTCAACACATGCAAAGACATTCCTGAAATACTCAAGATGTAGAAAATCATTTTCTAACTAATTTTCACATGCTTTCGTTGCGTTGTGACAAAATTCTCACAAATTTCGTATTTGTGACATGGACGCCCATATGAAATTTCTATTTTGCTTCGATCCACAAAATCCTCAAAATTCATTAGAACATTTCAAGATAGCATAAATGGATTTTAGTTGTTCAACAGAAATCGTCCAACTGAAATTGATCTGCGAAAGCGCAAGTTTAGTATCTTTCTAGTTTTATGTGATCACTTTTTCAACATTTCTATTTTGTTTTGTACTTCAGACCCGACTCAAGTACTACTTTAACCAGCAATGATAGTGTGCATTGTTTATTGCGTCCAGGTACTCCTATGTAAGTACTCATATCTGTTATTTCAGGATTTTTTCCCTTTACGCTTTGTGAGGCCGGCCTGGCTGTTCCAACAGCCATTCCAATGCTATGTTATTATCCGTTTTTTATTTTAGCTCGTTTTTATAGCGGTGACATCCTGTTTGTTACGTAAATGTTGTAATTATAGGTTTCAGATGGCGCGTGATAGTATGTTGAATACCACCTCAATCGGCTGCTTATAATTACTGTTGATCTATCAAACTATGCAAAGGTGACTTTCATAGGTACTAGCTATTCATACACTGTGTTAGTTGTTTATTCTTTTTCCTGGGAATTACCAAACATCGTGTTGCAGTCGAATGGAGACCTCAGAATCGTGAAGGAGTGGACTCAAATCTGAATCGAATGGAGTATCATCTATTTTGTAAGCCAAGTACGACAAATAGATGTAAGAACTTCGTTTTTTGAGATTTTAGAGGCTGCTGAACATTTTCAGTGGGTGGGGGAAGGTATATCTCATTTTTTGGCGGCAGTATATTTATACGCTTACAACCCCAGTAATTTCACGCACCTGCCAGTACATATTCCACACATCAAAGATTTTCCCGTACATTTGCCCTTAAAATTTAAAAATATTCATATTCATTTTTTTATAGAGCGCCCCTTATTGACACCATCAGTTAAAAGAACCAGACTTTTTGGTTACTCTAGACAATAAAAAGTTAGAAAGAGTGCCCTTAAATGACTCTTATGGTAAGGTTCAAGGTTGAATTCAAGGTTTCCTTGTTGAAAGTTGCTAAAGATTTTTTTTATCAATAATTCTACCAAACTTTCGTCTACGTTCACACATTTAACTTTTTTCGGCCTTCAGGGATGACGTTGATGTTTGAATAAATTTCATATTTGGATGTAGAATTTTCCGTTCTTTCGGCTTCCGATGTCAGAAAAATGCCCTATATTTTTCTGGTCAGGGTGATATGGTGGAAAAAAAATTGAGCCGTAAGAAAATGTATATTTAAACAAAATAAAGTCACGTATTTTCCACAAAGTATGTTGGCAACAACTTAACAGTATCATATCTTCTTTAACGAATTACTAAAAAAAAAACATTAATTATTTTTAATAAATTCGCAATTTGACCCAGGCATATGGGTGAAATGGTGAATGCATATTGGGTGAATCGGTGAGTTTACTTTTTTGCCTTTTACCACATATATTACACGTTGATTCGTATTTTGAACAGCCTTCGTGCAGGCATCTTGGCAGCTAATACATTTGGTCCAATTCGCGAACGTTTTAGTTCAACTGTACAGTTCACCACACCCTACGTAACAAATCATCTTGCAAGCGGATATCTAGCGATGAGTCGGATTCGGTTTCAGTGGTGGACGGTTTTCGTTTTTTGAGTTGCTTGATTTTAGTATTTCGTTAGGTATTTTTTTGGTTGCGGTTCTTACTTTGGCTTTCCTTTTCGTATTTGCTTCACTTTTCACTAACTCAGTTGTTTTGTTTTGCGGTTTTCTGTTTCGTAGGTTGACGATGTTAGATGAGGAATTCAAAACATCCGCTAAAGCTCTGGATTTCTTCTTTATAGATGTCATTTTATCGAATTTTGGAACCGGCGAACTTTGGTCCAAAACTTTGCCAGGGGTTATTTGCGGCTTTTCTGTTGTCAATGTTGAAGCCAGAGCTGATGCTTCTGATGATAAATCCATGTTTATCTGTGGCTTTTCCATGCATTGCGAACAACCAAGTTGTGGAGAGGTATGGAATTAGGTGAAGAATTCAATCACTAGAAAAACCTAGTTCTGACTTAAAGAGATACTTTACACGTATATTTACCCATGTTCGAATTCACCATTTCTCCCATTTGCCATGGGTGAAATGGTGAATAGGGTGGCGAAGAGTTCAGAAATTAAAAGCAATAATTTCTAGGTTGTGTACCATATAAACAGTCTAGGAAGCCATATAATATCAAAAAATACCGCGCAGACGGCGCTACCTGAAGCAATCCCTACAAACGCATACATCGTATAAAAATTATTGAGCACCAAAAACAGTTTCTTACAAATAACTTACGATTTTTAAAACAATAGTTTTCATCAGATGCACGCAACACATATGATGATAAACTTTCGTCATTCAGACTTGCAGCAACATCTGTGTTCCCGGTGAAGAACTGGAGCAATTCACCATTTCACCCGATTCACCATATCACCCTGAGTTATCCTAATGAAAAAAATCATGACGTTAAGTAGGTTTACTCTGCACTCCATATAGAACACCGTTATCAGTTTTCAAAGGGTTAAGTCTAGCACAAGTTAAACCCTCTGAGAAAAAAAATTAATACCGAACATGTACAATTAAGAATTGGAGGTACTGTATCTGGAAACCTCTCCATCGTAGAGGCTTGTGGCAAAAACAGTTCTTACTAAAACGGTATAGAGAAAAACCTGGAAAATGAATTTCAAGTTTCTAGAATGGCCGCTAGGGGGCGTATCTGCAATCTTGAATCTAAAAAAGTGATGTTTCTGTGAATTCCGCCATATTAACTTAACAAAAATATAGCTGATCTTCAAAGTCGAGGACTATGTGAACTTTTCTTATGTCCCAAGTGATAGGGGATATTCAAGGGTTCCGTGAAAAACACCCTATATTTTTGATACGGCTGAGCCAATCGTAACAAACTTAGGGTAGTTGAAAAGGACTGCTTTTGGGCCACAAAGTGATAATATTGGAAGTTTTGTTAGTTTCACATGTGACCACTAGAGACCCTTTTTCGACATTCCGACAGAAATGGTTAATTTTCTAAAACAAAATTAAATGCACTGGTATGGTTTTTCTTACGAAAGAGTAGCAAAATTATGTCTGAACAAGCTCGCGAAAACTGCACGTCGATATCTTGTTCCTAACCTGAAATTTAGTTCAAAGCAGAAAAGAAAATTTTATACGAGAATCCAGTATATTTTTATTTTTTTAAACTAATTTTTTTGGAATTCTTTGCTATTCATCAGAATGAAATCACCCGTTTTAAAAATATGACAAAATATTGCTGAAAGGTAGTAAGTAATAACAAATGACATTTTTTGTTTGAATGCAATATTCACTATGGGTATATACGAAAAAGACAATTATTTTGAGAAGACAACAAAACAAATACCTAATCAAAACATAAATAATCCTGAAATTGTCAATAGTTGTCAATAGTTTCGCGTTACTTTTAGCAATTCTTAGCGCGTACCAAATGCGTTTTACGAACGATGAAGCTGTTGATACGCTTGCAGTTTATTTCGAATGCCGCAGTAGCAAAAAGAGTTTACGCGACTCGGTATCCAAATCGACATCTTTGCGATGTGAGAGTCTTTCGCCGATTAGTGCGAGCTTACGAGCCAATGGTAGTTTTTGACCTACGTTTCAACGGTAAAGAATCGTAAGAGCACAAGAAAATATTAACCGCGTACTGGGTTACGTTGAAGGAAATCATTATCTCTTGAGTTGTACATATCACGTAGAACGGTTCAAAATATTTTGAAGGGCCACGGCAAAACTTGTTTTTGCAGTTGGATGGATGCCCAGCACATTTGGCTGTTATTTTCCGGAAGCATATTAATGCAGTATTTCAACAGCGGTGGATTGGAAGAGAAAGTCTGGTTCCATGGCCTTCGCGATTACCAGACTTCACTTGCTTTGATTTTTATTTATGAGGATGGATAAAAAGACATCGTGCTTCCGACTCAACCTAAAACCAGAGAAGACATGGAAAACCGGATTCATAATGGAATCGGGCATTCTGGACGTCATAACTCAATAATAAAAAAAATTACAGCACAATTAGTTTTAAAAAATAAATATTTATTCTTTATATTTATTTTTCAACGAGCCAGGGTCTTTTAAAATTGGCTCGGTTGTTTCGAAGATATAAAGTGTTACTGACGGAAATCTTTGAATACCCCCCATCACTTTATCTGTAGAGATACCTACACCAGAAAATGTCAAACAAAAAAGATTCAGATTACCCTCGGATTTTAAGATCAGATATTTTTTTGTTAGGTTAATATAGCGGAATTCACAGTAACATCACTTTTTTAGATTCAAGATTGCAGTTACGCCCCCTAGCGACTATATCAGAACCTTGAAAATATTTTCCAGATTTTCTCTTGGCCGTTTTAGTAATAACTGTTTTTGCCGCATGCCTCTACGATTCATAGGTCCCTAGATACAGTACCTCGTATCCAATAGCGAAATTAAACGGGTATTATCAGTCAAACAGGCCCATACAATTAGTCCATAGATATTCCTTCCCTGCCCTACCGTTAATTACCGTCCATCTGGCAACGTATATAATGTTTTGTTTTACTAATTTTTTAGTTAAAAGAAAATATAACTATTATTCAATTTCCGATGGAAATAAGAGATCTTAGGTTATTGTATGTGCAGAATGTGTTCATCACCACTTGAATAGAGATTCAGTCGGATTATGAACTTGAACTATAAGAATCTGACATTTCTATGAGCAATATAAACCGGTATACATAATAAAAAAACTAGTAAGATGAAGTGGGGTAAGTGCGTAAATGGGGCAAGTGCATTATTCGACAATATTTGCTGAATATACTAAGTGACATATAAATCCGAACACCCAGTACAAATGGTTTTATTTTAATAAAATTTTGTACTTAATGATGCATAATAAGTAAATGATAAAAATTTCAAAATGATTGCACTGCTTTAAAGCCCTTTGATTTTTAATAATGTGTGGATGCACCCTGATGTACTACGCATTCTCCAACGCGCCTAGGCATGCTTCTGATCAGGTGGTCAATGTCCTCCTGTGGTATCTCATTCCAGGCAACCACCAACTCCTCTCGAAGTGCTTCTAGAGCCTGAGGAGGACGTTGCAAATTGAGCAATCTCCTACCCATCATATCCCACACGTGCTCAATTGGGGATAAGTCGGGAGATCTTGGTGGCCATGATAACGATGTGACATCATTATGTTGAAAGAAGTCTATTGTGACTCTTGCAACATGTGGTGACCTGGAATCATAAGCTATAGCACCCCAAACTATAACTCCAACAGTGTGATGAACATGTCTTTCAACAAAAAACTGTGGATTCCTGCTTCCACCACGTCGCCTTCTAACCCTGGCACGACCATCGTGCATGCCTAAACAAAATCGAGACTCGTCACTAAGGACAATACTGTTCCATTCCCGATCCCAGAGTGACCGTTGTCTGCACCACTCAAGGCGATTACGTCGGTGTTCTCGAGTTAAAAGGAGGACCCAGTGTGGCCGGTATGAAAACAAGCCAAAACTTCTCATTCGTCGGTAAACACTTCGCATGCCAATAGGTCTTCCGTGTTCTGCAAACCATTCATTTGCAATGGACCTGGTAGTGGAGAAACGGTTCCTTAAGGCCAATAATCTTAGACGGCGATCTTCACGGTCTGTTGTTCTACGGCGGCCTCCAGTGCCCCTTGCTCTTTGCGTACGGCCTTCTCGAAGCCATGCCTGACAACACCTAACCACAGTGTCTACACTTCTTTGCACTCTAACTGCAATTACCCGAAAAGAAAGTCCAGCTCCCCGAAGTCCCACTATACGGCCCCTATCAAACTCACTAAGTTGACGAAATCGTACAGGTCTCCGTACTCTAGGCATCCTAACCGATCGTAAAGGATGTCGAGAACCAAAATCCGCCAACGTTGATTCTTTACTGCGGCTGAAATATTCATTTTTAGAGCGTTAGTGAATTAAAGAAAAGCAGTATAAAAACCGGAATGTCCAACCGATAAGGCTGAAAATTTTTTCACTTGTTATTTACAGTAAGATAAATACATTCCCCAACTTTTATTAAAATAAAACCATTTAAACTGGGTGTTCGGATTTATATGTCACTTAGTATATATTCCTTAAATTACAACCTGCACATGTAGAAATCTAGTATATGCGACATTACGATGTAACACCATAGATGACTCTATAAATCTTAGAGCTTGTTCTACCTAATATTCAAAGTGGAAGGTTGGCTATGATCAACAGTTAGGTTAGACGCGTTATGATAATAAGTATTTTACCTGCGAAATAGTGAGTTATTCTACTATAAGTAGTGGTAAGTATATAAGATTATAATATAAAACTTTCAAATATACAAATGTTGATGTTTCTTTGTCAGTTATTCTGAAAACTGGTAATTTGCTCTTGCCCAGCTCAAATCAATGTCTGGGGTAAGAGCAGACCAAATGCGCGGGAAAGTGCTTATTGGTCTACACTTGCCCTGTATTTTGGGAATAAAGCAAATTATATTCGAACTAATTTGTCAAATTTAAATAAGTATATTTAATCTTTATTAAAAAATTTGCTGATGTGAGAAATACGGGTTTGGATTGTCAAAGGAAGTACTTCAGATAGTTGGGCAATTCGTTCGATCAAATGGGCTTAAAACGCCTTTCAAGCATGGAACTGCTGGAGAATACTGGTTTCTTGGATTCGCTAGAAGAAACAACTTGTCAATAAAAAAACCTCAAAGCGTGGAGATAGCCCGCAAGAGGAATATCAATCCATTTATCATTGACCGATATTTTATCCTGTTAGAAAACACAATCAGAGAATTGGGTTTAAAAAACAAACCAGACAGAATTTGGAATTTAGACGAAACGAGCTCCACCACTAATAATTTTTAAAGGGAAAAATATTTGGGATGAGTGGCAAGCTCCCGAGAATACTGGTTTCCCTGAGACTACGTATGCACAACCACCAATGGCTGGATGGAAGTAACGGTTTTCGAAAATCGTTTTGAAAACCATTGCGGATGACCGGCCAGTAACTCTAATACTTGATGGGCATTCTACCCATCTAGAAATGGCATCTCTGGCAGGTGTTACTATCTTAGAGTTCCCACCGTACACTAACCATGTCTTACAGCCTCTTGATCTTAATCCATTTAAGCCATTAAAAACATCATGGGACGAATCTCTGGTCAAGTGGCAAAGACGAAATACCGGCATTAAACTGCCAACAGGGGAATTTTCAAGGTTAAGGGCGATCTTTGGAGAGACCTTAATAATGGAGTTAAAGCATGATTTCCAAAAGGGTGGTATTTTTCCGTTTTCCAAGCGCCTTATTCCAGAATCAATGTACGATGAAAGCAGCCTTAAAAGATGCAAAAAATTTAAGGAGTTAGTACCAGAAGCCCATCAAGTAATTGAAGATCACATATTAGATGTAATTTAAGAGGCCGCTGAGAATCCAGTTACATTCTTGGACAATTCTACTGACTTACCTCTAGACACTTTTGTAGTACATGACATGGTGACTACCAAATTTCAGAGCCAAGGTCATACCAATAATATACAAGAAAATGAAGCAAATTCCTGTCCAGATTTGACTTTATCCATAGTACTAAGCCCTCAAGAAAACAATTCCTTTTAATAAATTCTATTATCGACTATAAAATCAACGAACCAAAAATTTTATGGCAACAAACGTAAAGCTGCTGTGGGTGCAGAAGTTAAGCAAAAAATACGTCAAGAAAATAGTATAAAGGTAAAAATGCACATCGAAGGCTTTAAAGAAGGAAAAAAATCCAATTTAAAGAAATTAGGACGTAATGATACTATTGCAATAGCAAGTTCCTCCAAAACTCATACCAGAAGTAATCTAGCACAACAGAACAACCATAACAATACCATCACCGGCGATATAAATTCAAATTATTCTTCAAACTGTGATAATATTCCACTAAGTGTCTTAGCAAAGACCTCCACCAATGCAGAAGAGAATTTGTGCTCTATTTGTCTATGCGATTTTCGAGATTACCTTCACAATACAGAATGGATTCAGTGCATAACTTGTAGGCAATGGGTATGCGGTAGATGTAACAAGGGTTCGCAGAATCCTTACTACGAATGCAGTCGATGTCAAGATGACTGATTTTCAAAGATGTTTTTATTTTAATAAACTTTTGTTCCTTAAATTCAGCATAAAACGTCTGATATAAATAAAATGCAAGTGAATATTTTTATACTTGGAATTTACTTAATTACTGCGACACTGCTGAAAAAAGGGCCAAAAAATAACTAAAAAATATAATAGTTCTCAGATAAAATCTTTGCCTGCTTTTTATTTACTTCAAAAGCATTTTATTTAATTTATTTTAACACTTCTAAATAAATAGAACAGGACTAACTAACCCCAATTATCACTAAGCAAACACTATTTTTTCAAGCATAAGAATTTTAAGCTGCATCAATTAAACTAAATGGGATAAAAAGTATTTGAAAACAGATGTGTTGAAATGTATGTATGCTTTTGCACCGGATAGCTTATATTACGTTTTAACTTAGCTGTATGCTCTTACCCCGTTATGAGGGGGAAGTGGGGATCAGTAGCTGGCCTAAATATTTTCTGTCATTTGACAGAAATAAACATTTCAATAAAGCTAAAACTACTGAATTTGTAAAGGTTATACATTATAATACAGGATATATTAGATAATTTAGATAGTTTGTTGTGAAACAAAATTATAGAGGTTTAAAGTAGAACTTTTAGAAAATTACCCTGCACTTACCTCACGTCACCTTACATTCCCAATTTTATAAAAACGGTTATCTGACTTCAATCTTGTCAATTGATACAAGGCAGTCAAAGTTGCAACGAACCTAAGAAAGATGCAAACTTGCCAACACAAGCCAAGATCCTGTGTACTGTTTCTACCGGTTAAATCCAGTTTTCAAACCAAAAATTGGTTTGCCAAAACCGCAGACCGCAGGGTATTATGTGTAAAACCTGAAAAACGTCAAAAAAAACTGACGAAATGTCATCTTGTAGACTAGGTAGTTTTTAGCGTGCAAATAATTTATACCACGTTCATTCGCTAAGATCGCTGTTTAAGCAACACGTTCAGCTACAAAGCGAGTTTACAACAAGTGTACAAGTGTGCTAAGTTTTTTAAGATACCTTATACCCGTGCCGATAATTCTTAACTTGGTTTTGTCCCTGCCTGAACATCTTTTCTCGACTGCGCATGCTCAGTCGGTTTCAAACCATTGGAAACGTGATGCTATAACATTACTAACGTTTCTGAATATCAAGCGGTTGGTACTTAGTGGATTCTTATCGCGGTAGCTTGTGTAGTAGCTTATTTGTTGCGTAACTGCATATATTTGTACGTGATTTTTGAAGTCCAAACACGGTTATTTTAATTCATACCAAGCCAGCGCCAAAGCTTAAGACCACCACGTTCCATACAATGCACATTTATCTTCTCTGTAACTGGGAGGACCTCTGAGTCCAATGCAGCCGGGTGTGTAGAACAAGCGGCTCTCTCCATTGGTTGAACTAAAACGCGCCTGAAGCGTCCAATGAAAAATTATACGATCTCTGAGCACGCATATACGAAGAATTTACATGTAGACCATCAGCGATGCAAACACATTCGGAGAACTCGATGATGAATAACGCTGATGCCCTTTTGTTTATTTATTGTGTTTGTTTCAGACAGTGGCGCTCGCAGGATTTCTGTCTGGGGACGACAAAGTGGTGAGCTTCTTAAGGTACTCCCGCCAAATTTTGAAAAAGTAGGTAATAACAAGATGAATATGAGATCTAAGAAAAGTGTTTTCTTTATAAATAAGGTTTTACTTCTGTGTGCCAGGGTATGCTTGACTTTTAAGTCTGTGAGAATGGGCTTCCACTGTACCATAGTTGTTGTTTATCCGGCAAACAGCCCAACTTCAACAAAATATCAAGTGGAAGGCTCTGTCGTTAACGTTTAGGTTTGTCACGATGTGCTGCATGCACACTCGGTTCATGAACTCGTGGTCCAAGATATCCAGCATTTGGTCTCAAGCTTTTGATACATTCGTTTTTTCCAGTATGTTTTCTTCTGGTAGCTCGAGCAATCTTTCCATTTGTAAAGAAAGCAGTGAAGAGTATCATGTTTACTTTTGCTCATTCTGACAACAACAGATGACAACCAATACTGAAATTAGGTCTAATAGATGGCATCAGTGTTTCTCATATCAAAGAACAACTTCCTATTCGTAAAAAATAAAATTTCTGAAAATTCTGTGTGGTTTTTGAAAACTATTAAAGGTATTATTTTTAGATATTTCCAAAAATATTTTAGCTGCAAATATTTAATAATTTCTGGAAACTACTTATAGCTTCTATGTATAAGGGTGTATCTAGGACTCCAACGAACTGTATCTAAATATTGATAAACACTGTATACAGGATGTTGCGTGAGGAAATGGGTATAATGGAAGTGTATGTGGTAAAGTGGTTTTTTCGTATACGAAATTGGAATTCATTGCAAATTTCTTTGGCCCTTGGGGGTACAATGGTTTCACCCTTAATCGATCCGCTTGATAATGACTGTATAGACGGAGACGAATTCTCATGATACGATATTGATATGCCGATTTTCACGTTTAAAAGTGGAGAAATACTAGTAGAACAAACGTCAATACATACCTGTATATGAATTGAAATGCCCAAAAGTAGCATCTTTCTATAACTTGCAGAATTTGGATCCTCTGATATATGATGGAGATTTCTTGATACACACGAGCCCGGGCGATTATAAATATATACTCGCATATGAATGCATGGAACTGGAAAAATGTGAATTCCAAAACCACCAAAGGTTGAGGTCTGACGAACGTCAAATGATATCCGAACGTAGATACGTCGGAAATTGTCACAGTGGTGATGTGAATGTTTTAAAATAACCTTTTGCTAAAATAAAATTAAACAATATTGTTCTGAAAAAAATTCATTACCCGTAATAAACTTTTACTCTACTTTTACTTGAAATAACCCAAATTATTCGGTTTAATTAAAATGAACTTTCTGGAACCAGTTTAATTGAAAGTAAGATACTATTAAACTAATTTGATTGAAAATAGCAAACCATGTACCTGTAATTAGTTCAGGTAATTTAGTTTATGTAGAAAATGTACACTTAAAACAACTAAACTTTTTAATAGAAATAGTTGAACTGTTTGATAGAACTGCGGATTCGGCCCTTCATTCGTGAATGATCGGAAGTATGCGACAGACGCAGTGCCAGTGTCGCACTTCATACTTCTCAGGTTCATTTTTGATTTTATGAGCTGTGAAGTGGATCGGTTATGGTGATCAAGCCAAATACTCAAACATAAGGCGCTTAGTGACCGTTAACCATGGTTACAATATTTCTCGATACAAATGAAACACTGTATATGCGGGAATCACTGCTGACGTGACGGAATAGAAGGAATTTAGAAATTTCATCTATGCAGCCATATTTAGGCCAGTGAAAGGCAATATATATATATATATATAACAAGTAGAAAAATAATGGGCAAAATCCGCAAAAAAAGGAGGAAAGTGGATTCGAGCAGAAAATAGGATAGGTAACCCGAGCGATACGTATTTCTGCTGGTTGGCTTCTTCAGGCCCGAAATGAATGCACATATGAAACTACAAAAAAGTAGATATACATGCCCACACATCCGGATACGGGTGTAACATGAGGAAACGGAGTTGGAGGGGTGGTGTCGATCATAGCATCATCTCACATTAAAATGCCACCCAAAATTAGCGGTAAGGCTGCCAAAAAAGCGGGCAAGGCGCAGAAGAATATCTCAAAATCTGACAAGAAAAAGAAGCGCAGGAGGAAGGAAAGTTACGTAATTTACATCTACAAAGTACTGAAGCAGGTACATCCCGATACGGGTATATCCAGCAAAGCGATGAGCATCATGAACAGCTCCGTCAACGATATTTTCGAACGTATCGCTGCGGAAGCATCCAGATTGGCACATTACAACAAACGTGCCACGATAACTAGCAGAGAAATTCAGACAGCCGTACGACTATTGCTACCGGGAGAATTGGCCAAGCACGCCGTCAGCGAAGGTACCAAAGCCGTCACCAAGTACACCAGTTCAAAATAATATAGACGTTGTATTCGCGTCGACGGTTATACGGTTCGAAAAAAAAAACATCCGTATCCGGATGTGTGGGCATGTGTATCTACTTTTTTGTAGTTTCATATGTGCATTCATTTCGGGCCTGAAGAAGCCAACCAGCAGAAATACGTATCGCTCGGGTTACCTATCCTATTTTCTGCTCGAATCCACTTTCCTCCTTTTTGCGGATTTTGCCCATTATTTTCCTAATTGTTGTTATATACCTTTCTCCGCATGATCATATTCTCTATATACAGGGTGACTTCGAAGTTGAGTCATTTATTTTAACAGTGAGTAGATCTGATCAAAAGAAATGTTTTTTTCCTTTAACATTTTTCTGGTAAAATTAAATTAACAAAGTTATAGCCCTTTAGAAGTTTGAGTATCGCCCTGTCTCAATAATAATATTATAGGTATGCTCGTGTTTGGCGACAACGGATATAATCCGCCTGACCGGTTCATCGCATCGGAAACAAAAAAGCGAAGGAATTTGAAACGTTTATCACGATGTTTTTCGTCAGTCAGTAACACGTAGTGGTGTTTGTTGCGTGGCTCAAACGAAATAAAGAATGGCACATGTTTACGAAAATGCTGAACTTGTGGACATGATTCTTATTTACGAGGGGGGAGTCTTTACAAAATGCTGCCGCGGCATCACGGATTTGTGCGAATCGGTTCCCCAATCGAGTGCAACCAACCCCTCGTGCCTTTGTTAATGTAGTACAAAGGGCTCGTGAATCAGGTGACTTAAGATCTGCCGGTTCTCCAAGACCGCACGATCAAATACAGGTCCGCACTGAAATACTTGTCGGGAGGATACTTTATAAAACAAGGTAACATTTTTTTTTTAATTTTTTTTAATTTTTACACACATATTTTGGTTTATCTTCCTTCTACAATCATTATCTGAAAATTAATGACTCAACTTCAAAGTCACCCTGTATATATTGTTTTATTATTAGAAATAATCAAATTTTTGTCACGTGATCAAGTGACCTCATTCAGTTTCAGTTAACTGGTCCCCTACTTTCTGAATTGCTTCTAGTGAAGGGATAGATAAATTATTACCTGTTTCTGGACAAACAGACAAGTAGTTGGTAAAACATCAAAAACATCAATCGAAATAAAATATCGAGTTTAGTTAGGGTTATAAGTTTCGGAAATGTCTATCTATCTATCAGGTTCTCCAAGTTATCTGATGTCTAAGATTTGTCATTGCAGAGTTATAATATTCACCATTCAGTAATACGCGATTTATTTTTTAAATTCCAAATATTATCCGAATATTCTGTTAAGTCTAAATAATATAATTCATTAAAACTAGTCAAATGCTTCTACCTAAACATATTAAACAAATTTAATAAATACGATGGAATTGTTTCACTTGGAGCAGATAAACCCATTTTGATAGTCCACTAATTTCAATGAATATAATTAAGCGATTGCGACTTGGTTTAATTAAACTATTTTCATAGATTCAAGTTCCCTGTCTTAGAAACCGGAGCTTACTTAAATTTACAAGCTTGTTAGCTGTCACATAGTTAATTAAGTTTTTTAGTTGTTTTAAATAAAATTAATTTTTTATCCCAGTTTATATTTACAAAAACGACAAAGAATCTTATTATTAATATGGAAGAACGCGTACTTTATACATATTTCGGAAATGTGACATATTTTGCCCTTTATTATGTGGAAATTTTTCGTATTATTTATCAATGCATACCTTTACAGGCTTGAAAATGAAATTCAATGAACTTGTTCTTCTAAAAACGAAATTATACTTTCTTGTTAAGTCACAAAAACAATGCACCAAAACGTTTTTCTTCCATTTTCCCAGATCGCAAATATGCAATCGGCAATGCTCCCAAGCCTCTTAAACGGAAATTATGATTTTTTGCCTAATTTGCTCGTCTCTGCATATATATTTTGGGGTGACGTTTCCATTTTTTAATCATGCTGTCGAAAAACAAAGCACGAACGATGGTACATAGCGTATGTCTTAAAAGTTTTGGCACATAACTCAATGGCTTTAATTTTAACAAACACAAAATAAGATCAAGTTGCATTTAGTAACAAAAATTTGTTTACTTACTTTTCTGTCTATTACGTCATCGACACAGTTGAAATCAGAACCAATATGGACTAATGAAAACATATGATTGATGACTTACATAGTAAATGTATGCAGGTATGATGTATGACTTTTATCAAACTATACACCATGTGATTGCCTTTGTATGGGAATCTACACTTAATGCCAGTCGACCACATATATCATAAATACAGAAAAAGGTAACATTAACCGAGCAGTTTTGGATAGAGCATCGTGTATTCTCACAGTCCAATAATTTCCCTTGGATACAAAATTTATGTACCTAGGGATGTGACAAAGTACTTTGAGTAAAAGTATTGCCACCTATGGCAGTAGCATCAAATAATAATTCTGATTGACTTAACACAATGTTTTTTTTCATTCTAATTAACATGTAAGTGATGTATATGAATTTGGCTTAAATTTCCATATATGTTAATGAAGTATGAACTATACTCATAGAATATGGTATGTCAGAGGAAGTACTAACCACTAAGGATAACCTGTTGTGGTCATTACATCCAACTAGACCA